TTAATATGATGATTGGAATTGGGCTCAAAATCAACCAGTATGTATTATCCAGTGGAGAAGGGAAAGGGGTTCTGAATTTATCATTTTATTTTCTCCATGATGTTTGATATTTTTCATAAGAAAATGTGTTTTGTTTTTCTGTAAGCTGCATCTTCAAAATTACAGGCATATTTTTAAAGATTCCAACTGTTTGGATCTTTTCTATCTCCTGAAATTCCTCAACAATTTTTTCATGTATATATGATAGATTTATTTTTTTGGCACATCTATAGCTTTGTTACATTTTCAAGGACAATTGAATGGGCAGAAATACTATTAATGATACCTAAATTCAATAAATAATCTCCTTTGAAAGCCGAGAACTTGAAAAACAATACAGATAAAAATGTTATTAAGTTACATTTATTGCTACCGTGTTTCCCCGAAAATAAGACATCCTCCAAAAATAAGACCTACTTATAGGTTTCCTTCTGAGTGAAATATAAGGCATCCCCCTGAAAATAAGGCCTCCTCTAGGCTAAACATGAGAGATTTGGTCCACTGATTCTGAAAGAAATGGAGTCACAAGAAATTCACCAGGAAATTCAGGAATTGGATTGTTATGATGATGTTCCAGAAGATGATGACATGATTGTCATTGAATAAATGAGTAAATTCTTGATACTGTAGGATTCACAGTTTGTCTGGTTTGTGTTGACAACTACCATACTACCGTACCGTATACAGGTAATAAATTTCCTTTATTTTCATTTAACAATAAATGTGTACTGTATTCTTCCTTCATGGAAAAATAAGGCATCCCCTGAAAATAAGACCTAGCGCATCTTTGGGAGCAAAAATTAATATAAGACACTGTCTTATTTTTGGGGAGACAGGGTACTACGAAAACATCTTGAAATAGATTTCTAGTGGATAGTGTAATATCTTAAGAGAAGAGCACCCTCTGCTGTCTTGACAAGAAATGTTAACACAAATGAGGAGACACTATTGTGTCCTTGATTTTCTCAGTTACCAGCCACAGTAACTGGAACGTATCATAATATTATTATTATTATTAATATTATTATTATTAGTAGTAGTAGTAGTAGAATAGAAGTAGTGGTTGTATTTTAATAATTATTATTATTAAAAACTAAGGTAGATGATATCATAGTCAACTTTCTTTTAAAACCACTTCAGGGATGCAGGGAACCACTCCTGGCCTGCAAAGGTGGGGTTAGAATTTATTTTCTAAAATATATAAAGGCTATAAAACTAAGCAAAAATAACATTAGCACACACATGCAGTGTGAACCAAAATTTACTGATTTGGACACAGTCACTTGGGTTGTTAGGTGACCATGTCTTTGTGTAAAACTGAGAACAAAATTATTTCCATAGGTTTCCTTGTGCATTTGAACTTGTCAGAAACGTGTCACCACCTAGGAAGTCCATTGCTACTCTGGGAACTTCAGAAATTCAGCCCGGTTGGTTCCTCTCTCCGTTTGGTGTACATGTCAGCTCAGTGCAATAAAGCTCTTTGCGGAGCTCATGTAAAGGCTGGGGGAGGCCATGTTAGCCTACTTCATGGCTGCCTGTGCCTGTCCTTGTCATGATCCCAAAGTCAGATGAAACAATAACATGTTTTTTATCCTCATATGTCATTTTTCCATTTGTTTTGTTTGAATTCCTCTTTCTTGAAGAAGAGTCTGTGAATACTGGTTTTTGAAGTGGCACTGTGTTGAGTACAGGTTTAACAAAACCCATTCTTCTATGAAATTTGACCTTGGATTAACTTTCTAGTTCTATTTGCCTGGAAACCTGATAAAAGTGAAATGTCAGCTGTGTTACTGAGGAATATTGCATGTGTAAAAATGACCTCTTATTCTGAACTGCCTCTGACTCAGGAGGGCAGAATGCATTAAAAATATCAGTTTGAGAGACAAAGCTTTGGACTTCTCAAGATGTGATAATTCTTGCAACTCACATGTCCTTTGTGGAGACCCAGAAGCTGTTGTTATAAGATATACTAGTTTTTAAATGGCAAGATTTTATTATTCTTTTTTTAAGACTGAATAAGATCCTTGGGTGTGTATTACATTTTTAAAGTCAAATTTTCAGTTGACAGACACATTTATGGTTTTTCCATATCTTGAATATTGTGAATAATGCTGCAATGAACATGGAGGTACAGATATCTTTTTGATATTTCATTTTCTTTGGATATATACCCCAGTGTGAAATTGCTGGATCATATGGTAGTTCAGCTTAAAATTCCTTCAGGAACCCCCATACTGTTTTCCAGATTATCTGTATTGATTTACATTTCCACAGATAGCCTACAAGGTTTCTCTTTTCTCTATATCCTCTCCAATGCTTATTAACTTTTGGTATTTTGATAACAGCCATGGTAACAGGTGTGGGTAACATCTCAAGGATTTGCATTTCCCTGATGATTAGTAATGTTGAAAGCCTTTCATATTACTGAACTGTGCACTTAAAAATAGTTAAGATAGTCATGTGTACTTTAACACAAATTTTATAAATATATAATTTACAAAAAGAAGCTACTATTAAAAAATGGATCTTAAGATACAAGAAACAAATCACAATGAATTCTTTAAAGAAAAACAGGTATATTGGTTCCTATTAGGTGGGGGGGGCCAAAATTGTACTCCTAAGTCACTACTGTATCTGTTTGTGCAGATCTATCATGTCACAAGCTAACTATCATTTGGAGGCAGAAAATAGCTCCTAGACTGCTATCAGGCCTTCCACTGCAGAAAAATGCTTGTTGTTGCCCAGATGGCAGGCTGTGCTTCCTCTCCCTTGGAGCCAGGGCCAGGTGTGGCCTATTGTATTTGTTTTAGTTGAAAAGCTAGTTGAAATAAGAAAATCCCCAGAATGCATCTTGCACCCAACTGTCATTTAAAGAATGTGTAACCATGTCACTCATTATTCTGATATTGTGCAACCACAGCTAGATATAAAAAAGTAAATTGAATGCAGAAATCCAACCACACTATAGCCAACATTAATAACCTTACATTTCAACATTTTAAAAATTTATCAGAGCACTGTCTTGTTGTATAAAGCTATGGATTTTGAACTGTTACAAATACAAAAAGAAATATTTTCTGATAAAATTGCTCTTTAACCTCTTGTATGTTGTGTTCCATGTAGGATTTTGATGGAAACAAAGTGGTTTTTAGTTTTTCTAACTACTGATAAAGTGATTAAGCAAGGAGGCCATTACACTGAGGTGGCTGGAATTACTTGGTAGCCTACATTAGCAAATGGAAACCTAAGCCCAAGTCACTGCCCTTGATCCCAGGAAATGAAATCTAAGAATGACCAATGACAAACAGCCAGTGGGGCTTCCCCAAATATGGCACTGCTTAAGCTCTAGCTAATCAATAATTTATTTGCTTTGCTTCCACATGTTCTCTGTGAAAACATGGACTCTAGCTTCTGTTAGCAGAGTGCTCCTAACTGCTTTTGGTTTTGTGCTGCCAAATTCAAGTCAGTATTTGCTCAAGTAAGTGTCATAAATTTTAATATGACATAATATGCCCTAGATGCTTTTTTTTCTTTTTCTTTTTAACAGTTCAAACATGCACTGCTCTATTTCAGTCACATATAAGATGCTCTTACAAATCAATAAGAAAGATATTGACTACTAAATTTAAACAAAATACAAAAGGCTTGGATAAGTACTTCACAAAAGATGTACAAGTAGCCAATAGCCTATGAAGAAGTGTTCAACATTGTCAGATGTCATGGAAACGGAGAGTAAAGCCATCATGAGGTACTTTTCACTCACAGGAATGACTAAAATTAGAAGGACTAAAAAAGTTAATTCTTTACAAGTAGGTAGAGCAACTAGAACTGGCACACATTACTGGTGAGAGTGTAAATTCATTTGATCACTTTGGAAATCTGGTGGTCCCTACTAAAGCTAAACACATACTTTCCCCATGACCTACCAATTCTACTCCTCGTTATATAACCAAGAGAAATTAGTGCATGTCTATCAAAAGACAAGTGAAAAAATTTTCATGAATTTTCTTAATGTTCAAAAATTGAAAATTGTAAGCAGCCGAACAGTCTATTAAAAATAGAATGGATAAACTGAGAGATATTCTTATAGTGGAATACTTGGTGGCAAAGAAAATGAAAAATCATTTGTGACAATGTAACAGCATGAATAAATTTTACAGACCTAATTCTGAATAAAATAAGCAAAACATAAAACAGTATGTATGTATGTTAGTTCTATAAGTAGATCATAATTAGTAAGATATTGGTAAAATTCATAAATAGATCAGATTAGTGTATGGTAATAGAGGTCAGCATAGTATTTACCATGTGCATATCAACTAGGAGAGGTTATGAAGAGGCATCTAGGATGCTAGAAATTCCCTGTATTTTGATCTAGTAGAATTCATTAGTTAACTTGAAATCTATGTTCTTTACATAGTTGAGTATCTCATTAAAAAGAAAAGAAAATATAGTGCAGAAAAAAGCAACTAAATAGAGCCTCTTAATATCTGAAACTAGCCAAAAAGCTATGGCGTTAGGCTGGGGATGTCATTAATGGATCCCTCTACCCAAAGAGAAGGGGAGACTCGACAGGTCACAGGTGTTTATAGTAAAATATTTTATTTTTACATCTTAGCAAGTTAACACTACTCAATATAAAATGTATACTATAGGGTCTGATTAATAGGAAACATTAAAAATATCAGTACTTCTATTGCTGCTGCTATTTACTATTACTGTTACAATTTTGTTGTTGTTATCAGTGATTGAGTTTGAATCAGAAACTCTCACTGTACCTCCTCACCAGTTTCTTGTCACTTCCACATCCCATCTTTCAGTCCATTCTTATTTTCTCCAGTTCCCCACAAAGGGTAGCATCAGTACTGGGTATGAATAAATTGGCGTAGTCTTATCTTTCAAAGCAGACTGTGGGCCTGAGATGAGGTCCAGGGACAGAAGGGCCTGAGGGCCGGGCTTCCTCAGACAGGGAACTCGAACTCGCAAACTACCAAATGGGAGGATGAGCAGCTGACATCATTCCACATGCCTTCAGGAAGGATTATCACACAATCTTCCCCAGAGTTGGCATTGTTGGGCTCATGAGCATTCCAATTTTGGTAGGTCAAAGGCCTTCCTGTCAGATCCACAAAATGGCCTTCTGTCTCCTTGTCTGTGATGCCCAAGAAGGCATCTCCTTTGGTGACATACATGATGGCCTCGTTCTCTTCAGCATTCATGGGGACGGCCATGGAGGCCTGGAAATGGGAGCACTGTGCCTTCGCTCTGTCAAAGGTCGTCCTTTGACCATTGGTCAAGTACAACTTCCTTCCAACTTTTTTGCCCAGAGCAAAGGTCAGCCCTGAAACAAAAAACATGGGGATGACACTGGCTTGTCTTTAGGCAGTTTTCTGGATAAAGGCTTCTAGAGAATTGTCATATGAAATACTGGTATGTCCAGTTAAATTTTAATTTCAGATAAACAATGAATTTTTTTGTTATAAGTATATTCCCACAAAAATTTTGAGGACATACTTATCCTGAAAAAATATTATTTTTTATCTGAGATTAAAATTTAGGTAGGCAAACCTAACTTGAAAACAGACTGGAACAAAGGCCTTTGTCCTTTTGGACAAGAGTTCTAGAACACATGTAATTGGTAATTCTGTATTTTACCCCAGGATTCTCACTTGAGAAGAAAGAAAAATGTCTGCGAACATTTGCTTCAGGCCAGCAGGGCACAAAGAAGCAGGTTAGGCCCCATTGTCAGGTCTCAATATCAACATAACAAAGAGAAAGAGGCTTAGGTCCAGTTTTCAGTGACACATATGCACACAGTTAGTAGAAAGTATAGAATGGGGATGAAGTGGGGAGACAGGGGAGAAGGGGAGAAAGCGGTGTCTCTGGAGTCAGACTGGCTTCAATTTATAAACTCCCTCTGACACTTACTAGCTCTGTGCCTCTGAGCAAGTTATCCGATTTCTCTTTGCCTCCATTTCTACTAAAAATTTCGAAGGATTTCATGAGACCAGATCCCGAGGGACACTTATGTGGGTACTAGAAAATTACTTGTATTTAACAAATACCGTGCACCTTCCTAAACTGAAACATGAGAGAGAAGGCTTACACTTTTTGACACGATCCAATTCTGAGCGCAGAGCTTCTCTTTCTAAAAGAGCCAGGTCATCATCACACTCTAGAAAATGTAAACAAAGTGAAAGAACATTGTTGGGAAGGGATTTCAGAGTTATAACTGGGTAGGGTAATTTTCAAAAATATATATATATAATTTTCTTATACATTAATACTTGCTTTTTGAAGGAAAATAAAAATATTAAGAAGTGAGGTAAAAGTACCTGTATTGCCACCCCGCCCAAAACATCACTCATCTATTGAAAGTAATGAGACACTTTACGCACATGTACACATACATGGACACATATGCACTCCCAGATAACCTAGCATGATAGCACTCCATACGCTAAGCTATTCACTATTTTTTTTTTTTAATAAATGACGCCAGTATGAATAAAAAGTAAATCTCTGGGAATTATGTGCTGGTGAATCTAAAAAGATTACAGTTTTTGTCTTTAGGAAGATTTTGTTTTTATTGCTTTATTGTTTTGTTTTTGTTTTTTCTCAGAATTTGTTTAGTAAACCAAGATTTTTGTGAATTGCACATTATTTAAGGGGGAGGCCATAAGGCAGGCCGTGTGTGTAAGAAGGCAAAATGGCCTCCATATGGTACAGCTTGTCTGTTTAAGAAATGGAGTCTATTTCTCTATTCCTTGAACCCTGCTGGCCCTGTGACTTGCTTTGACAATAGAAGGTGACAGAAGCAATAATGTACGTTTTCTGAGCCTTCAGAAAGCCTTAAAGCTTCTACTCTTTCTGCTATTGGGTATTTTGTAATCACCTCTATGTGAACAAGCCGGGCTAGATTTTTGGAGGATGGAAGACCTGTGGGTCAATTACACTCCTCACTCCAGCTGACTCTAAACAACAGGCAGACATATAAGTGAGACCATCGGTCACCACAGACACTGAGATCAGCAGCAAAAGCAGTTGGCAGATCCACAGAATCATGATTTAAATAAATGGTTGTGTTTTTTGTTTGCTTCTAGTGAAGTAAAAGATAACTGACATGCCATGTGTATACTTCTTGTGAAAATAGACATAGTAAGCCCAACACATACATAGTCCACTTTCTCCCTTTTGGACCAGAGCCTCACATTGTGGTAGCTAAAGGAAAGCCAGGGCCCAGCTCCTTCAGGGAGAACCTGGTAAATGAGTGGCTCTGAAGGGTCTATAAGTCTATACTCAGAGATCCCCTTAGGCTCTAAGTAAGGGCTGAGCGTGCTGGGTCAGGAAGCAGAGTTGGTCATCTTTCCATGAAGCAGCAGAAGTGGTACCTCCCAACTGGTTCTCCAAATTCCAGGACCCTGGGACAAGGCTGCCAGCCTAGACCTGGTTGAGGTTAGCTTCTTACTTGGACATACTCCAGGGTCTCCTTTTTGGCCCATACTTCCTGGTAGCCCAGGGAGTCCTGGATTTCCTTGAGGTCCCAACTTTCCAGGGGGACCTTGAATGCCTCTGAGCCCTTGGCCTATGGGAAGAAGGAAACAGAAATTAATTAGTGTCTCTGTGTTTGCTCTATTTCTCCCAGAGTTTGATGCTTAATCTTTTCCTAGGAGAACAGAGACATTCATCTAGGACCAGCTTTCTAAATCACCACTTCCACTGACCCAGAGAAGAAAATCTTCCCAGGTCCCTCGGAATGGCCTGTCATGAGGGCCACTCCCTGAGCAAGCAGAACAACCACATGTCACCAACTCCTGTGTTGCCAGGGTCAGAGCTGTATTTATTTTGAATTATACACTGAGTGGCCAGATTATTATGATCTCTAAACGCATAAGAATCTGGCCACTCCGTGCCTATCGTATATAAATAAAAGGCTAATATGCAAATTGTCCCCTTGATCAGGAGTTCAACCAGCCGCCAGCAGGCCGGCCAACCGCCCATGGAACCTCACCCTGGCCAGGCTGGCTGGGCCCCACCCATGCACAAATTCATGCATCATGCCTCTAACATATATTTACTGAGTGGCCAGATTATTATGTTCAGAGATCATAATAATCTGGCCACACAGTGTATTATATAGTTGAGAGAAATACAACCCATATGAATTGGACATTGCTCTTACATCCCCAGGCAGTTTTGTCTGGTAAGTAGAGATTCACAGAGAAAGAATAGCCCAAGCTCTACCTGGTTCTCCTTTTTCTCCCTTGAGGCCATCACGCCCATCTCTGCCTGGCAAACCCGGAGAAGCGCAGGTGACCACAGGGCAGGTTTTTGGAAGGCTCTCATCAGGTTCTATTGCTGAATAAGATGTTGTCACCACACTCAGAAGAAGGAGAGAGAACGACGGAAACAGAGACATGGTCCTCACCTTGGTGTGTGGAAAGTCAAGGAAGATTGGTGTACAGTTAGACAGCATGCATGTACCAAACATTCCCTCTGTCCTATAACCTGTATTGGGCAGAGATGATGTAGAGATAGGTGGCTCACCCATTGCTGCCTCCAGACTGGGGTTGTGGAAAAGTAAATCTTCCTTTGGATGTTGTATGATTAGTACTTTAACATGGGTAGAAATAACATGCAGTGAAGTCCCTAGGAGGGGTCCCAAATAGCCTAGGCGTCTGGTTTTATCATTAGAAGGCTGTGCATATGCTCCCCATACCCATTAGGAGATCCACTTCCAGCACACTCATGCATGCCTATTGGCTTAAGGGGTGGAAGTGAATGAAGACCCAGGAATCTGTAGGAGCTCTTGCTCACCCCACTTCTCCCATTTGGGCCCATCTGCCACCTGCATCCCATCCTCATATCTAGGCAGACCATTCCCTTCAGGTCCAGTTAGTTAACACTGACTTAATGCCAGGCACTAAACTGTAGGCTGGTAATCCAGAGAGGAATAGTCCCTGCTAGTCACTAACTCAGAATTCACTTGCGTTTGCTTTCTAGGGAAGTTATATTTCCTACTGCAGAAGAGACATACCAGGGGTAGCATTTTGGAAATGTCTCTCACTCTCTTATCCCTAGCAGGGTGCCAGATTCCTCTCTTGCTCCTGCAGAAATGTCCCGTGTTCTGTGGATAAAAAACACTGGCAGTTACCACCTCCCTTGACTCCCCTTCCTATTTCTTAATCTTAGCATTTCATCTGGCCCTTCAAAGCTCTCTTTCAAAACTGTCATTTGCCGAGACTAGTTTGGCTCAGTGGATAGACTGTCAGCCTGTGAACTGAAGGGTCCCGGGTGCAATTCCGGTCAAGGGCATGTACCTTGGTTGCAGGCACATCCCTGGTGGGGGGTGTGTAGGAGACAGCTGATCGATGTTTCTCTCTCATCAATATTTCTGACTCTCTATCCCTCTCTCTTCCTCTCTGTAAAAAAAATCAATAAAATATAGTAAATTAAAAAAAACCCTGTCATTTCCCAGTAAACCTCAATTTACGAGCTTTGTGCTTCTATTCTTTAAAGAATAGAAGTCAGTGTCATTTCTGCAAATGGTCAGGTAAATCCAGAAAACCACAGGTGCCCGGTAAAAGCAAAGAAAGAGACATCCCTGCATGATTTCTGCTGGCCATTTCCCCTGTCCACCCCTCAGAAACCTTCCCGTAGGCCTCCAAGGTCAAGTCAAGTCCCTAGACAGATCCAGGACCATAGACCCATTTAGCAGAAAGGACTTACTGGGGCTTGTGCAGAGCAGGAATGCAAAGATGAGGAAGATTGCCCTGTGGCTGGGGCTCTGGTAGATGCCTCAGGGTAAGGAAGGAGGCTGCCTGGGCAACTGCAGGGCCCAATCAGCCTTGTGAACTGAGACTCACAGGTTGGTCTGGCCTTCAACCTCAGATTAATAAACAACTCTTCTTGGGACTGCACTAAACTCCTAGCATTGGCCTGGGGTTTCTGGCACAAAGTTCAGCAGCTGTTTGCTTTATTACTACACACATCATCCTTCAAATTTCCATCTATTATTGATTGTGGTAAAATACACATAACATCATATTTGCCATGGTGAACATTATTAGGTGATAATTCAGCAGCATTAAGTACATTTACATTGTTGTGCAACCATCCCCACTAATCATCTCCAGAACTTTTTCATCATCCCTGACCAAAAGTCCATATTTATTAAACAATAATTTACACTCCCCTCTCACATTCCTCAGTAACCCCTGATTACTACTGTTCTACTTTTTATCTCTATGAATTTGTCTATTCTAGGTACCTTATATTAGTGGGATCATATGATATTTGTCCTTTGGTGACTGGCTTATTTCATTTAGCGTAATGTCTTCCATGTTGCAGCATATATCAGGATTTTATTCCTTTTTGAGACTGAATTATTCCATTCTATGTAATTATCACATTTTGGAAGCTCCATTTTTTAAAATATGTGTTTTAAATTTTTTTCTTTTTGAGAGAGAGAAGAAGGGAGAGAGTGAGAGAGAGATAGAAATCTCAATGATAGAGAACATAAACATCAACAATTATCAGCTGCCTCTTCCATGCTCTCTGCTGGGAATCCAGCCCAAAACCCAGGCATGTGCCATGACCAAAATCGAACTGGTAATTTCTTAGTGCATAGGTCAATGCTCAACCACTGAACCACATTGTCTGGGAGGTAGCTTCATTTCTAACAGCCAAAATCACTAGAAATAATCCAATTGTTCTTCAACAAGTGAAAGGAAATATAAACTGTGGAAAACTTACAGGAAAAACAACAACAGACTATTGACTCATAAAATAGCTTAAATCTCAAAGGCATTATGTGAGGAAAAAAATATAATCTCAAAAATTTACAAACTGTATGTTCTTTTTATATAGCTTTCTTGAAATGATAAAATTGCAATAATATAGGACAGATCAGCAGTTGGCACAAATCAGGACTACAGGGAGAATATAGCTCTAATGGTGTAGCATGGACAATTTTCATTGGGGCCGATGGAATAGTTCTGTATCTTAATTGTGGTGATTACACTAACTTGTGATTGTGAAGTAAATCTTATAGGACTAGACACCAAGAAAAAAAAAAGCATACAGGTAAATAATGGTTAAATCCAAATAATATGTGCATCTTATTGTATGGTTCCAGTGCCAATTTCTTTGTTTTGATACTTGCATTGTGATATGTCATATCCTATCATTGGTGAATAATGGATGAAAGGTACATAAGACCTCTCTTTACTATTTTTTTCCCTTTATACGGGACACTAATATTATTATTTTTAAAAACTTCCCAGAGGGACTCTCAAGGAAGTTTCAAAAGTTGCAAAGATTATTGTTACCTTCTTTAGAGCTTGGTCCATGCTTCACACTGTGAATAATCTGCACAATGGTTTGAAAATGAGACAAAGGAAGTCAGGTTTCCAATGATAATACTCTTTGGTCTGACTGGGTTTACAGAGTGAAATCCAAGTGGTGAGAGATTAACAACACGATTATAACTTTTATAAAACTGTGGACCTCCTCCAAATGGTCATTAGAAGAATTTCATAAGAGATGATCAGATTTGAATTTTCAAAGCTCGTTCCGACTAAAATGTGAAGAAGGATTGGAGGGGAGCAGGTATGAAAAAAAAAAAATCCAACATGCAAGGAGGTACTTAGTATCACTTAAGCAGCTGATGATGGTGGCCAGAATTAGGATGACAGTGAGGTCGAGAAGGTGAACACATTTGAAATCATGTACAAGGATCATTTGAGGGAACTTGGGAATTAATTGGATGTAAATGGTATACAAGAAGAAGGAATTTCTATGGCCTCATAAGTTTCTAACATGAATATTTGGGTGCCATTCAACTGAGATAGGAAATAAGGGGCAAATAACAATCTCAGCAGAAATAATAAATATCTTGTGGGTCAATGGCTTGAACCATGTGATGGTGGTCAAGAGAGACAATCTAGATGGAATGGAAGAACAATTTTATAAAGCACAATGGAATTAATTCTACACAACTTTTCTAATAGAGCTGTCACAAAATGTTATGTTAGCTTGGGGTGATGAGGAAGCTCAACCTGCGAGCTTCATACAGAAGTTGCAGAGCCATGTGGTGGGATATTCTAGAGTCCTCAAATACCAGAAGGAATGTGGATGGAGGAGATCCCCTGCTAGATCCCTTCCAATTAGACTTCTCTGGGCTTGTGAAGGGCCTGATATTCTTACTTTCTACTGATCTGTCCTGGTACCTAAAAAATGTCTCGGATGGTAGAGAATCACATGCCTAAAGCATATGAAGGACACCTTGCGATCCAGGGCCTACATGCAACTTGTTCATCCCTCCTGCCTACTCTTTAGCAGCCAAACCTTCCTATGGCTCCTGCCCCAGAGTGGCAGGAGATGAAATCAGATAACTGAACCACGTTGGAGGTGCTGCCTTTGATTACTGAGTTTGTTTTTATTGAACGAACACAGTCCAGAGGTCAGGAAGCTGCCCTCCAGACCCTGGCATTTCCTGGAATTGGGCTGGGAAGCGCTGAGCTACTGCTTGGGTATTTCCCATCTCTGAGCCCCTTCTGCTTCCTAGAGTCATCTGCAGGCCTTTCCCATCATGAAAGACCCCTCTCCATATGCACCAGCCCCTGATTACCCACTCTTCACTCCGCATCACAGATAAGGCCACTGTGTGCATTTGTTCTGGAATTTAGACGCTTCCCAGAATTGCCTCCACTTGGTACCTCCACCCAAATCCACCTCACCTCAAGGGGTTTCAGAGGTGCTGCCTTTCTGACCTGTAGAAGGACTGCCTGACCCTCTGCACCCCCTTTCCTCTCATTGGGGCTGGAGTCCAAGCTCTGTACTTTGCAGCTGTGAGTTGTTGGCCAAGTTCTACCTCCAACTGTTCCTCAATTTCTTCATTTGTGAACCAGGATCCCACTGACTTGGTCGTGCCATGGAATGCCCTGTCTGGTCCACACTCAGAGTGCAAGCAGCCAACCATGACAGGGTCTTCATTGCTTCTAGGGTGACCGCTCAATAGTCTTCTTGGGAAGCAGTGTTTTGGGGTGGCCCCTTTTGGGAGGCAGATTTAGAATCAGAAGACTTGCTTTGGGCTCATAACTGTGAGATTAGACAAGTCCTCTATCTTGTGTGCCTCAGTTTTTACACCTATAAAAAAGAGTTTGAACCCCATTCTCTTTCCCACAGGGATGCTGACAGTGCAATGATGACAGTAAATGGGAAATGTCAGTGCCCTCCAGACAAAGACCACCGGGAACATGCCTAAATCCAAATAAAGTTGATTTACTTCCTTTTAGTTTTTATAAATGTCATACTTATTATATACAGGATATTGCATACAATGGTGGACCATACGATTCCTCAGGAACAGATTATTAGGAGGAATTTTGGAGGGATTTGGCCTTGTGTTAGGTGATT